TAGATAGATAGATAGATATTAATATCGGTTTAATATCCGGCTCCTCCCCATAGCGTCCATGGGCAAGACGCTAAACCAAAAATTGCTCCTGATGCTGTTTTATCGGTGTGTGAGTGTGTAAATGGTTACTTACTTTCTGATGTCCACTTCACATCAGTGTGTGAATGCGCGTGAAAGGGTGAATGTGACATGTAGTGTAAAGCACTTTGTGTGGGCTTAAGACCAGAAAGGCACAATATAGGTTCAGTCCATTAAGCATTTACATAACCTACTTAACTAAAAAAACAGTTCGCTCTCTGTTTATAAATTATTATGTAAATTTTGTGAAATTTAGATAACGGCTTGTTTAGGAGTCGAAACTAAAAGTTTAGGACGGGTTTGTCTTGGGACTTAATTAAGACTTTTCACTTGCAAAAATCTCTGCACAGAAGCAGCAGATCAGAAAACAGCCGTTGTTTTGGAAGGCACTGAAAAAAAAAAGATGTCCTGACGATGGAGATGCTCATATGAGTTGTTTTGGAAGGCAGTAACTAACAACGTTGTTGTTTACTCTTCCGCTTTGGATAATCCTCAGAACACAGTGTCTACAAAACTCACAAGGCCTATTTCTTCGGTTGAGTTCCAGTTAAAAACTGTTTACAGCATGTGCTTTGGGACACCAATTCTGGAAAGTCATGTTACTGTTGAATTCTCTGAATCTAAAATAAATTGCATTAACCTCCATAGTATTGGCGCAGAGGCAGATCTCAAAAAACTAAAACCATCCGCATGGCTGGATAAAAGAAATGAACAAATGTGTTTTTTTGACACCATGTGCATCAAACAGTAAGGATCCTGGGCAAAAGACTGTATGAACGCTGAAAGCACTGAACATTCGCTGTCTGTGAACACCAGACCAAAACTGGCAAAAAGCATCGACTGTGAAGGGATCAAAGTTATTGACGTGGATGGCTGTGTCAGAATCAAAAAGTTAATTTCCATCCGACGCCAGAGATCATCTTTCTCGTTATTATGTGACCAAAGTTACGCGTCGACACCGGGTTTGTTTCCTTCAGCCATTTTTTGGATTATCGCACATGTTTTAGGTGAACTGGCCCTTTGTATAATCATTCTTGCACAACCAAAATTGGTTTAAATGTGCTCCTGATTTTGAGAAAGCGTAGCCTCCTGCGACGCTTGATGTGCTGTAGCACCTAGAGAGCTCAGCCTGTAGGCAGATAGCCACCCACAAGGTCCTGCTCCTCCATCCTCTGAGGCCACACTCACTCCTCCGGTCTGGACTCCTACACAGCCTTCCCAGCCTCACTGGTGGCTTCATCATTAGAGGAGCTCCCGGTGATGTGAGCATCCATGACTCACAGAGGGCCTCTGTTAGGCTCCTCCACCACCACTACCACCTCCACAACTGGAAGGCTGGCAGATAATCCACAACACACACATTAACACATTTATATACTTGCAATTCAGCATTCAGGTACACATTAATATAATGAATCAATCCATTGAGTAACTATTTGCCCCCATGAAAAAATGTCCTCGTTTCTCTTCTGCAGAGATGAGCAACTGGAAACACAGCTCATCAAAACCTCAAACTGGTGTCACTCTGCTGCAGGATTATGTAGGTAGATCAGCTCTTTGCATCTACTGACGCATTTACGTGCGTTGTAATTCGTTCAAGCCTAAAAAAACTAAACTGACATTCACATTCTATTCACTTCATCTGGACCTTTTTTATTCAATACTGAAAAGCTTTAAAGGATTATTCCAGAGGATCTTCTTAATGTGATATTCAGAGGCTTAAAACAAAAAAGAGAAGGCTTTTATTTGGATTGGGAGGTCCAAATTTCCCCCATTTTTACACAATGACAGGCTCAACATTGTGTTTCTATATATTGAATATATCTTATATAATAATATGGAATAACTCAAAAAACACATTTTATGAAAGGAAACAACAGAATCACAATCAGAAATATGTTATTGATCCCTGGGGGGAAATTTGTTAACATACTTATGAATACAAGCTTTTATTATTCTAAAATAAAATGAGCCTCCATTTGGCACCTATTCTTAAAACATGATTGATTGCACAAAACTATCATAAACCCAAAAGACTAATAGGCAATTTATCTCCCTGGTTGACAGGATGAGGCCAGTTTTGGCTCCTCTCTAACATTGAATGACTAACCGTGGATAATGACTTTGGACCAGACTGATACATACAGTATTTCTGGAGATGAACTCTTCAGATATTGGCAATCAATGTTGTTATTAGTGTTACTTCAACCTGATATGTCATTAATCACTGGGTTCCTTCTCCACAACCGGGGTTCATTAGATATTTATGAGCCAAATTATATCTGACCTGCCAATCCAAGTCAAACGATACCAGTAACACAGACGCACGGTCCAGTAGAATATACTTTTACAGTTATTATCTCTGCTGCAGACAGTCTGATTACAATAATCAGAACTCAGTGTCAATTACAGTCCCCGTAGACGTGACAGGAAGTTGTGAGTTTCCCGTGTCCAATGTGCAAACACTCCCTCGCAGGAAAAAAGAGCTGGTTTCCCCCAGTGATGACTGGCTGCAGTTCTTTCCTCACATTGTTGTGATTAACTGCTGGAGCCTGATGACACCTCACTCAATTAGGGAAGCCCTCTTCTTGCTCCTGTCAGACAACACACACATGAACACACTCCAGCTTTGAACACATCTTTTGGTTTGAGTGTGTGTACAGACGTGGGTGTGTTTGTGTGTGTGTGTGTTTGTGTTTCCATTGTCACCCTACATCTGTCTGTTAATTGAGCTTGTGTCTCTGGCTAGCCTCTCCTCCCTCACATTAAGGGCTACTATGAGGAAAGAAACAATAGAGGGAGAGAAGACAACCAGGCAAGAGAGAGCGGAAAATACAATTTCACTGGCCACCTTAACTTCAAAAAAGTTAAAAAATGAGTTGAAGAGCCTCATAGAACACAGACAGACACAAGCATAAAATATATAAAACATATGAAAAGACTGTAAAATATATGATATATTACTAATTGTGAAGGTGACACTTTGGGTAATTGTCACAACATTTCTCACAGAAGTTCTACAAATCAAACAACCAATCGATTAATCAAAAAAAAGAAGAAATCAGCAGATGAGTCCATAATGAAAATTACAGTCCTTTAAACAAAAAATGGGTCAAAATTAGCTCATATTCAACCACAACAGTAAAATCCAGCTTTTACATGCATGATATACTGTTTATATACATATAATAGTGACAGTAACAGGCACAGGGGGCATTTTTCTGCATTTAGTACTTTTGCTTTTAATACTTTGAGTACATTTTTCTGATTATACTTGCATAAAACCCACTTTTACTTAGGCTAAGTTAGACTTTTGCTTGTTACAGTGATAACTGTGGGACGCTCGGCTGCGCAGCGCCACCTAGCGACGGGAGAACTGCGTGATGACGTCCTGAGACGATGACGTCAATGTCATCATCAGTTCCGTTCTGCTGTTTTTAAATGTTTACAAACTAAAGCCGGCGCTCACCGTCTGCCCTGCTGTTGTTCCTGTCTCCCCAACTCGAACCATCACATCAAGGTAAATAACGTTGCACCACTTCAACACAACGTGTCAGTGTGCTGCTCTGCCTGTTTTGGGTTATTAAGGCCCGGATCTGTAGATTTATGAGATCTATCTGTGTTTAAATGGAGCTAATGTTTGTATTCGGGGTCAGTCACATGTTGTGAGAAAGCACAGATCCGCCCCTCCCACCCTCAAAGATCGACTCAAAATGCCAACGTTTGTAAAAGTTGCATTAATTAATGTGTTAGCTTTACTGTGTAGGCTTGTAACTGACAGGGTTGCCACAAATCATGGAGGAAATATTTTGCACAGGACTGCAACTAAATGATTATTTTCATTATGGATTAATCTGATGATTATTTTCTCCTTTTAATCAATAATTTTTTTTGTTTTGTAAAAATTTAAGAGACATAGTGTTTGTTTTGTCCAACCAACAGCACACACTTCTAAATGATTAAAAATGTATTAAAATCATAAAAAAACATTTAGGAAAAGCAGACAATACACTGGGACCCTGAAATGTGTTTGCATCAAAAATGACTGAAACGATCATCAGAATAGATTTCTGTCAGTCGATTACATTATTAATAGAATAATAATTTTAGCTCTACTTACAAACTGTTGTATAAGTGTTTGGATAGTTTATAAACTCTTTCTATGTAAGTCTTTATTTGTAAAGTGACCAAAGACTGACTATCCATCTGTCTATCTATCTATCTAAGGAAAACCATGAAAGCTGATGAGGAGCCTCCAACTCATTTTCCTCAGTGCCCAGCTGGATTAGTAAAGGTTTGTACTGGTTTGTACAGTAGGCTACTGAGTACAATGGGATCTACTGTGAAAAAAAAAAAAAAAAACCCAAACAAATGTGACCATTAAAAGTCACAAGATGTAGAGAGATAAATCCAAGAAGTACATACTGTCTGAGTTATTAACCCCTTCACCTGAATCCTCTCACAGTTTGTGTTTTCATGTACCTGTTTGACATTAATTCCCTCTGCGATGTTTGTGTTTGTTGTTAAAAATGAAGCCTTTACTGGCTGACCTTGAAGCATCAAACGAACGACATTTCAAGCTGCACGTAAACTCGCCATCTGTTTTATTTCAGCGTGGTAGTTGTAATATGAAAAGAGAAAAACTCACATAGGGTTTTTTCTCTGCAAATATTTGCTGTTATCACATTGCTTCCTGACTTATTTATTCCAGTTTAGAGTACATGTTTTTATGAGGATCCATCTGATTTCCACAGGGCAGGAGAAATGTGGAGGTGAAGAGTAAGGAGTCCAGCAATGAGAGGGTTGAGCTGACGGTGGGGGTGAAAACATCCAAACCCAAAATGTCAATTGAGCTTTCTTCGTGTTTCTGTGAGGACAGTGGAGCATGCGTGTGAGTCACACACAGTAATAAAAGTTGTTTGAAGATCTACTTGAAATCCAGCTCGGTAAATGAACCTGTTCATTTCAAGCCTCATCATCACGGTGATGATGAACATGAGGATGATTCTGACAATAATTACTGCCCGGCACTGTTTACGCAAAAGTGGAGGCATCACAAAAGGACATCCAGCGTGGAAAGGACAAAGGCAGGTCCACTCATCTAATAATCCAATTTGTGTTGATTTTACACTAGGTGCAAAAATGGCCTTTTTGACTCACCATCATCACTCTGTCTTTCACCGGGGACTGCTGCAGCGCAAACACAGATGCAAAGCACAAAGCCCAAGGCCAGGACGCTGGTGAGTCACAGTCGTACCGACGTGTGTGAATGAAGGCTAAGTGAACGTTCATTCAGTAGAGAACTGGCTCTCATTTGACGTCATCGGTCTTAATCACTCAATTATAGCAATTTCCAGAAGGTAACTGTGCTTTATCTTCACCGTTTCTGCCTCCAGGTAGCATGCAGGCAGCTGATTGATGGGAATGAGACGGCGGCCTCTCTCAGGGACCAATGTGAGATCATTCACACACTGAATCATTCACTCTCAATCATTTGTGCTGGATTTGTCTGAATCATGCTGTGCGTGAGATGGCGCATTCATGATGTTTCACAATACTTGAAAGATAAGATAACACAAAGAAAAGCAAGATAAGTATGTGATGGAACTTTACTGAGTGGAGAAGGCAATAAAACGTGTGATATGAGCAAGCAAATGTACACTACGTGGCCAAAAATATGTGGACAAGCCTGTCCAGTGTTTTGGCAACAATTTGGGCAAAGTCCATTCCTGTGTCAATATGACACAGTAGGTCAATAAGAAATTGTTTTCCCAGTTTGGTGTGGAATAACTTGACCTCAACCAGTGGAGGTCCAATATAACCCCACCCCAAAAAACAAAAAAATAAGAAAGTTTATAGAATCCCTTCAGTAATTCAAACAATTAGATTGACAGTATCAGTACATTTAGAAAAGGTGAAATATATGTAATAGATTGAGCTTTAAAAACAAATGTTTTACCGAACAGAATATGTAGCAGAACCAGAGATATCATCCATTTTATTAGATGCATTCTTCCTTCCTCCACAATGCAACTCAACTGCTGATAGTTCGGTCAGAGATGTGTGTGTATATGCTAATAGCGGCTAATGTAGCCTCAAGCTGCTATCCGCAAGCAGACATAAGGAGCGGACTACTATGCAGAGGTCTTTAGATACTGAAGAAAACATCTAAACATAATAATTATGAGGCAAGATCTGATGTTATAAGAAGCTTCTTCTTCTTTCTCAATGACTTTAAACATGTTTACCTGCAATGGACATTGGAGATGCCACTATTTCTGTGTGTAAAGTGTGCCAAGCTTTTTTCTCTCCCCTTCTCCATCGCCTAAACCAGAAACTGCCACTAAAACCTTATCCAAGACCTTTGGGATGGGAGGCCTTATCACCCAGCATCAGTGTTGGACCTCACTAATGATCTTGTGACTGAATGGGAGCAAATCCAGACTCCAAAATCTTGTGGAAAGCCTGAAACCAAAAGGGTCATAGCAGCAAATTAATTGTGATGGTTTTTGAATGAGATATTCACATTTGGGTGCAATGTTAGGGGTGTCCACATACTTTTGGCCAAATTGTATACAATTAAATAGGAAATCTGTTCAACAATTGTGGCTTCACATGAAAATATGATGGTGAACACCTGTGAAATGGGTGAGAAAACATTTTCACCATGAGGTCCATTTAGTAGCTTCTGCTGGTGATTTTTATCATATCACATGATCTTCCTCAACAGATGGAGTTTGCACGGTTGTCATGAAATTTTAGATTTAAATTTCCATTTTTATTTTATTTTTTCTGAAGACGAACACATAAGCTATGGAACAGCCACTTAATGAACTTTGACTTGCAATGCAATTGTTTCAATTATGGACAAAAAATATGCTCAATGTAAATAAGCTTGTATAAACATAATATGAGAAAGCATATCATCTCACTATGTTAATATAACAATTAATTATTGTGTTTTTATTGAAATTAAGAAGTTTCTGGCTAAAGCAGAACAGAGGTGGGATTAAATCCACATTAAAAGCACATTGATTTTGTTATATCATCAGGTTGAGACTCCTTAATGTTGTAATGACTATCTTTATGACAACCCTACCACACACACACCTCCACTCATTTGAAGCCTGGGGGAAGAAGTGTACGAGAAGAGCCTGAAAGGGAACATGAGTCAGCCTGATAGTACAACTTATGATGAGTGGGAGCTAAATGGATAACTCTTTCAGCAGAGGAGACTGTCTGGGTTACAAAATAGATTTATTGATTTATTTTATGTGAGTCCCTGCCTACTCTGGGCCAAACTATTAAGGTTTGGAATTTCAAATACATTTCACCAAAGAGAAATTTAGATTCAAACCGTGTCTTTTAGACTGTTATGTGTTCAAAAAGGGCTTGAACTCAGTAGCCTGAGATCATACAGATAAAGAGCAGAGGACAAAGAAAGAATCAGATAATAAAATGTAATATTGGCCGTGCATGGGTCAAATATAATGCTTCAGTGTACACTGGATACTATTATGGCTGTAATTAACAGTTATTTTTTATATCAAATTAATCTATATGTTATTTTCTGGTCTATATAATGTCAGAAAACTGTGAAACAAGTATCATAAAGCCCGAAGTGACAATTTCAAATAGATTGTTTTGTTTGAACAACTGTCCAAAACCAAAAAAACATTCAATTTACAGTTATATAAAACTGGAAATAGCAGCAAATACTCACATTTGAGAGGTTGTAACCAGAGAGTGCTTGGCTTTTTGTGCTTGAAAAATTGTTTAAATGATTAATCTTTCATTTGCAATTTATTGACTAATTGTCTCAGCTCTAGATATTATTCTCTCAAACATATAGTGTGAGGTTATACACAATGTCAAAATATAAACACTAATACTATATCGTTTCAGTTGAATTTATCTTTTTCATTTTGTTCTTTTTCCTCAGCTCCTCTGTCATTAGTAACATTCAAAGGGACTGTAAGTTCTGCAACCAACCCCAACAGGAACCCTTCAGTTCATGCATCCATCACAGTATGTTTCATTGCAAATGTACCACATCTTTGTCATGTTTCTTTTTTATAGGATACTGCTGGTAACGTTTTTGCAATTGTCAACAAATCCCATGAAAAGCCAAATTACAATCCATCAGGGCTTTGGGACTTTCTCTCAGCCCCAAACCAAGTAGTTACTGAAGATGTAAATCTTTAAATACAGGTCACGAATATATATTAATTTTTCAAAAAGGGAAAAAGAATTTCCTTAAACAGCTGGGCACTGTAGTTTCTAGAAAACATTACTCCAACATTGGTAAATAGTGCATTTGTTGGGACTATTTTCAGTTTCCCCTGTGAGTATTTCTGCCAGGAGATTTCATCCAGTGTTACCTTACAATGTGTTTTAATAGTTTATGGACAACAATGGAGCTCCATGGC